GATGCTCCAAGCCAGTTCAACATGCTGCAGAGGGCTAGGTGAGGCACAAGGGTGATCCAGTGCAGGCTAGATGGCAGGTAACCCCTGCATTGTAGCACTCTTGTGCCCCAGCCATCTCCATCAGCATCTATACGTGTGTTGCAGCACACCAAATGATGCTGCTGTAGGATAGTACTTCTGTTGGGCAGTACTATCTTACAACAGCATTTATTAGCTTACTGCAGCCTAATAGGGCTGCATATATAGACTTTGACATTTTATTGCTGAGCTAATTAGGCAACTCCACAGTAAACATCTTGTGTACATGTGCCCCTTGTGTGTTTTCCTAGGTACAATATACCCTATTCAAAATAATAAGTGTAAGTATGGCACAGCAGAGTATAGTGAAAGAGTCACTGTGCTGAAATTTAGGAACTATGGATGGTATAACTGGCACTAACCTGCTGTGTGGCCTAAGGTACTCCACTCTCTCCCCCTGTTTTCCCTCACATTTTTCATCTTGCACACACAACGCATTTACTTCATTGAAAATTGATTTTATTTCATAGTAAAAGTGGAGAAGATACTCAACACATTAAATCACTCAAATCTAGGATAAAGTTACCCCTTAACTGCATGGAAAAAAGGATTATGTAACAAATTGCATGTCAACTCCCTAGGCCAACAGTCAGCAAAGTTTTCCAGCAGTGTGCTGAATCCTAGGTGGGCTGTTGCTAGGACTGAGCTGCCACTGCTTCCCCCCACTGCCTGGCTGTGGCCTGGGATGGGAAAGTTCCTCACCACTCAGTGGCCTGGACACTTTACTGGAGCATGGGCAAACCCCCCAATGCTGAATGCCACCAAAGCTACAGCCTCACAGTCTATATCAAATGGTTCTTCCAGTCAGATCTGGCCCAGGAACCATAGGTTAAGAACCCTTCCCCTGGGTATTTCATTCCTGGGTAGCCATTTGCTCAATGTAAACTGTCTTCTTTACCATATAGTGATCACATACTAGAGTAGCTCTTACCGCAGAAAGTTCGTTTATAACCAAGTTAATTTACAATGATGTAACATTCAGCCCAAATTACCCCATAATAATAATGTCATGTTTCTGAACATTTCAATGCTAATACTGTCTTGACATACACTTCTGTACTGTGGCTAACACAATGTAGTCTCAATTACGGTTGGAGTTGCTATATCTAGTAGCTGTGACATTACAGAATACTGTAGGATGTGGGTATGTCGTTACTGATATGTGCTCCAGGTTCTACAAACATATAATCAAGAAATAATCCTTTTTATCATATCATAGAGCCACTCTTGGATAATTTGATCAAAGGATTTGGAAAAATATAACATCTTTATAAATTAATACATAATTCACAACATATAGTATGCTAGTATGAATAGGTACAGGAGTATACAAATGACATGTACAAACTGCATTTGTTGAGTGATTCTAATCAAAACAGCCCATTTGGGGAATTTGGCTACTGATTGTCAGAAATAACTATCATAAAGAAGGTAAGTCAAGAGTTGAACAACCCAGGTAAAAAGAAGGAGACAGTGTTAAGCTTATATTTAATCAAAACTTATGAAAATCATTCCTTCAAATACCTTTCAAGGTAGCCTTAAAGAGGCCTGTATATTAACATTCAGTAAACTTCAAAATATGTAGAAACAGAGAGATATTATCAGTACCTATTATAATTAATAGGTTTATGATTACTAGATTCCCAATGATTCGATCCCACCACAGAATAGTCAATGTAGTAGCCAAATAAATCTTCTTCATGTTTTGGCTTATCCCACTGTACGACAACTGATGTTCTTGTATTCCTTGTGCCTACTACACGACCAGGAGCAGATGGGACAACTATGCAAAAGAAAGACATAAATATTCGTTGCATTTAAAGACACTGATACATAAGCAGGTAGCAACTAAATTAATCTGGGTACAGCATTATATAATTTAAACTATTTAGATCTCACTAGCTCTGACTTTTTTCTTAATATCATTATGTGATATAATGGCATGCTTCCTTTCCTGTAATCCATATAACTGGTTACTCTTGATTGCATATCTCTACTGTTTTTAAGCAAATGCTTAAATTAAGCTAGTTAAATGCAGAAGAACTCCCCAATGGATACAACAAAATACCTACCTCCGCTCAACACAACAGACTTACCAGCTGGAGGCAGCTGTGTCCGGTGTGGTGAGACCTGCTGCCTGTTTAGTCTATGGCCAAATCTCTGAAGCGGCACTGAATCTTCGGGTCTGATTCGGCTGAATCAAATCAGGACAGTGATTCAAATCTCCCAATCGAATCACTGTCACTCTGAATCAGCTGAATCCAAACCCGAAGCGAATACTTGCCGCTTTGCACAGGCCTACCACCCATTGCCTCAGACCACCTGGGCCACACAGCCCTCCCTACCCTTCAAGGTGAGCAGCTGTTATAGGCAGAGGACAGCCAATGGGACACAGCAGCAATGCATCTCCCCTGGAGACTGGGGGGAGTGGAGTAGCCACACCTTTCCCAGACCAGAATCACCCCAGTCTGAAGAAGGCACAGGAAGCAGGGGAGAGGAGGTGGTTGCAGGCTAGAATGCCTGTGTACTTCTTTTCCTAGAAAGATTTCTAGCACTGGAAATTTTCCAAACATTTCTGTTTTTAGAAATGAGTGCCCATTCCTACCTACAATCGCCGTAAGTAGCAACTATTAATATCTGATACATGTTTATTTGTCACCAATGCTTGGACAAAAAATAATCACATCGTAGTTTTTTGTTCTGATAAGTTTAAGGCTGGGCTTCAGGTATATGATTTAGTTGAATTTTGAAATTTGCCACTATATGTCCAGCCATACCCTTGCTATCACTGAAATGCAACAACATCTATGCAATGGGAATTGTACATGAGCCAGAATTCACAACAGGGGTTATTAGAAAGAGAAATGAAGCCTATATTATCTAATTGAACTATAGGAAAATGTAGGTAGCTTATAATTCCCTGAGTTAGATAATATAATTATCCAAAAGTAGAGTGTGGCCAGAACATCTAGTCTTCCTTTTGTGAGTAGTCACATTAACGAAGTGCTGCTGAAGAAGGACTAACTGAAATCAATGGAATGTTTTAACACTTCCATTTCTCACCAAAAAAAACATGCTAGTGATGGAGAATCCTGAATATTAATTCTACAAAAGCGTGGCACAGTTTTCTTACCTGATCCCTTGTATGATAGTTAAAATACATATTTTTATAAAACTGAATAGGATTGCCATGCATGCTTCTGAATTTATAGAGAGTTTGTTTATTTGTCATTTTAAAATCATCAACAGCATTTCATGAATTGTCTTACCAATGGTATCCTGTGCTTGAATAGGTGGTGTTATTTCAGACGGGTCACTAATGCCATGTTTGTTTGCTGACAAGACTCGAAATACATACGATTTTCCTTCTATAAGGTCAAACACTGCATAGCGAGGAGATTTCACTGCCACCTGAGCATTGACCCTCTGCCAGCTTCCACTTCCAACCATGGACTATAAAAATAAAAGTGATGATTACTTCATAATTGTTAAAAATTGAGCATACCAAATGTGTTCATGAAGGAGAATAATTTTGGAATGCCTGATACCCATGCATACAAATCCTCACTGCTCCTACTGGTAACTACTCTACAGAGGAGATCTATATGCCTGTCTATCTGTGTCCATCTATCCATCTGCATGGAGCAGGCTAGCCAACTGGGGTTAGCACAGGCACATAATCACATGGGAACATTAGAAGACATGATGCCAAAGAGATAGAGACAATATCTTTTTTGACTCCCTTGTGATAGTGGATAAAGTACAATATTTTCTAGCATACGGCACATTCCATAAATCAGATGGTGGAAACTGCAGTGTGCATTATATGCAAGAAATATGGTAAAAATAGTTGAGATCATAATGAGCAAAAGGGATAATACAATCTGCATATGACTCACAGGGCGCAGAACAATGTACAGGCTCTGTTCCTTAGCTGTTGCTAGTCAGTTACTTACTACAAGGAAAGATTTTTTTTTCTTCATTCCACCTTTCAAAAGCAGACATATTGGGCACGTCTACACAAGACACTTTACTGAGCAGTAAAGCTAGTTACTGTGCAGTAAGTGTCCACATCTACACATGCCGATGCTTATTGTGCAGAAATTGGTTCTAATTGTGAGTAAATTTTGCTACCTGAAAATGCAAGTAACTAAGTTACTTGAGATTACTTACTGTGCAATAGCAGACACCTAACCACTTCAATTTAGGGCCCCATTTTCATCTACACACGCAAAATGAACAAAGCAGTTTGTAATTTGTACTGAGCTAGACACTGGCTTTAGTGTATATGGCAGAAAGCATAGTGAAAGATCTGGAAAACCAGTGCTCTGAGCGAACTATTCTGCACATTAGTTACCCCAAATAATCAGTTGACCCAGAAAAAAAAGCCACAGTTTATTTCAGTATCCTTAGGATGGCTGAATTGTCCAGTAGACAGCTTGAGTAAAAGTGTCTTAGGACATACAAAGACAGTTGCATAAACATTATAGACACAGAATTCTATACGAATTATAAGAGCAGCATATTTACAGTTTCAGACTGTGAATTCCTTAGAGAAAGAATAGTCTTTTTTGGCTGTTTTGTTAGCAGCTTATATGTAACAGATGTTACCACAAATAAATGATACAAAGGTAAAACATCTACAATCCATATTTTGAAATCCCTTTGATAGATGCTAAACTCAGACATTGCTCTTGGAAACAAAAGAAAGAAGCAGCAGCAGCAGAAGTAACATTCATTTTCTTCTTTAATGAAAAAGATGGGAAATATGTAAATAGCATTTTTTTTGCATATTTTATATTTTGGTACTGAGCCTTGACTTGAAGCAAATTAATTGTGGGTGCTTTAATGTGACAGAAACAAGAATCAATTCACTGGTTTATATTTAGTTATAATTTAACATAGTGCATTTCTAATATATTTTAGAGTTTTCTTCTACAAACCTCTCTGTTTAATCATATCCCAGAGTACCTGGAGAGCACATACTGCCCTGCCTTGTGGTTCACATTTGAATTAAGCCAACTGTTCATATAGGTAAACATTACTCATACGAGTCAAGATTTGCAGGGTTTAACATTCATTTGTATAAAGAAATTATAGCTTTAGAATTCTTGTGATCATTTTCCTTTAGTACTTTTTTATGTAATGAATCAAGTGTTTGTTATTGCCACTGCTTTCTCTTTATATGGATATGTTGTCACTGGAACTATGAAGAGCTTCTTAAGTAAACCCTGTGGATATCAAAAATTTCAAGTGCACAATTGATGTCAGACTCTGATCCAGGATACATTTCAGCACAGAGGGATTATTATTATTATAATTCATGTGTATTACAGTTACACAATGGGGCACAAATAATGAAACATGCAGTGTAGCAAGACAGAAGACACAGAGGGTCCTTGACTCTAAGTGCTTTCAATGTAAGTGCAAGTCAAGTGACAACAGATGACTGTACTATCAGAAAGAAGAGTTCAAGACCGCACTAGTCTGCATAAAAGGCAGTGGGATCTGAGCACATCTGTAGCTTAGATGTAAAGATTTTTTAGGAATCATAGAAAAGGAATGTGTTAAGGAGTGCTGTAGAGGAGGATACCATTGGGGCAGGGGAGGCTTCTGTTGGGTATGTGGGAGAGCATCAAAGAAAGCTTGACAGTTGAATAAGTGAATGATAGAAACTGATCACATGTGGGAATTGAGAATTCCATAAGAAATGCATAACCTAAATGTGAGTACTTGGGGTGAGTTGGGTTGTCCACAGTGATCTGAGAAAGGAGGTCTTGGGGAAAGGTTAAGAACTCACTTTGTATTAAACTTAAATTGACAGCTAAACATTGAGAAGTCTGAACAATAACCTGATATGTTAGTATAGAAAACAAGAGAGGAACCTGGAAATCTCTGTATTGACAGCACAGAATGGTAGTTGAATTTGTTCCCCCGATGAGAGCAAGGAACTTTGAGGAATCCCTACAGAAAGTTGGAGGGCAGCTGAAGTACACACGCAAATGAAAAGGAGATAAATACATTAAGATAGAATACAAGTCAAAATTTACCCTGACATTTGAATTCACAACTCCCACATGCACCTGTAGACACACTGGAGTACCACGGAGGTAGAAGAACTTCAAGAAAGCTTGGAAGGTAATGAAGAAGAAGATTGCAAGAAGAGCTGGTGGTGCCAATGACTCGTGATAGATCAAAGATTATGAGTATCCTCACTAGTTCTGAGCTTTAACTACCAAAATATCATTAGAGATGTTTGTGACAGCTATTTTAATTAAATCTAATGGGCTGAGTCTAGGATGAGGAAGGTTTATGATGGAAGGAATTTTACAGAAAAATTATAAATAATACATTCAATGAACTTAGAGATGAAAGATGACAGCAAGCTGGAGCACTAGTTGGATAGGCAAATAGAGTCAATCGTGAGTTTTTTGTTTCTTTTTCTTTTAGTGATGATTGTCTAAAGCGTATTTTTATGATGTGGTGGAAAGAAGCAGAAGAGAATGAGAAGTTAAGGAGAAGAGTAAGGGGGGAGAGAAGAGTGGATGGAAGGGGACTGGGAGATGAGTCATCACTGAGGCAAGTGGAGTAGTTTGAAGAGAGAAAAGCTGCATCTGTGAAAGAAAGAAAAGAGGAAAAAGCTGGAAGATGCGGAAGAAAAAAGAAGCCAAATAAAGAAAGAGCAGTGAAATCTTGGTAAGAATAAAACTCGGGGGGGGAGAGAAGGAGGGGATTTGAGAAATTAGTCAAAAATGACTGGGAGATGTGTCATCACTGAGGCAAGTGGAGTAGTTTGAAGAGAGAAAAGCTGCATCTGTGAAAGAAAGAAAAGAGGAAAAAGCTGGAAGATGCGGAAGAAAAAAGAAGCCAAATAAAGAAAGAGCAGTGAAATCTTGGTAAGAATAAAACTCGGGGGGGGAGAGAAGGAGGGGATTTGAGAAATTAGTCAAAAATGGTAAAAATATGGCCAGAATTGTGAGCCTGAAAATCATTTCAGTTAGAGAAACTGAGAAGTTTATCTAGGAAGATATCAGAACTGAACAAGCATGCATTTGTAGGGGAGAAGTCAGGCTGAACCTGAGTCTCCCCCAGAGGGGCTCTGCAGCACAGAGCAGAAGTGGAAGAGACTGGTGTTGAAAGAGGCTCAGCCTCCCTCCTTGTTCAGGCCAGTCAGGTCAGGTGGAACAGAGCATGAAGGAAAATTGCAGCCTCCTGCACAGGTAGGCAGGCAGTTGGTAGTTTATAAAAATTAATGGAGTTGGAAGAGCTTGGTCTCCTCTCCCACATCCATCCACAACTATCACTGCAGAAGAGACAGACAGTTGTGCCATGTAAAGAGCTGGCATAATTTACTGTTTTCATGGAGGAAGTGGGAAGAAGAGACCCAGTTATGGGTCACAATTTACTCCTGGGTCTGCTTCAAAGGCACAGCAACCATAAGTTCCCTCTTATTAAAGGCAAGTTGCAAAGAGTCAATGAAGCTTTGAGAAATAAGCTTTCCATTAAACTACTACAGTGTACTGGTACTTTTGTTCTCTTTTTAGGCAATAGTGAGTAAATAGCATTTTTTTTTCTCTGCATCTTGAATTTCAACACTCATTAAATCATGTAATAAGATATTTGATTATCCATGCCTTCTCTAAGGTGCCAGTGTGAGGTCCTGTGAGACCTCAGTGAGAGCTAGTTTTATTGTTAGTTCTGTGGCTCTGAAAATTATTTGAATTTAATTGTATGTGGCAATGAAAAGCCTTACAGCTGAATGCAACAGTACAGTACCGTACCTTCTCAATGAAATACATCAGTGGCTCTTTGCCACGGGGAACAGGTGGATCCCAGCTGAGTACAACATATGTTTTGCTGGTTTCTGAAGCATGTACATTGGTAGGAGGTCCTGGAATCTGAATATCGCCTGGAGAAGTAATAAACTTACAAGTGTTAAACAGCAGATTAACACCCAGGTCAACACTTATGCGACAGCTCATCTTTCTGAACTCCCACCCTACAATGCATTTCAAAGCTACTAAAGGCTAAAATATCAGCTTTACATGTTACTAGCTTGTTTCATTTCTATTTTAAGGAACTAAGTATGCAAATTAAAAGTGGGCTATTTATTTTCACTGCTGAAATAAAATATTCAACAGAAAACTTTCTATCTGTGCATTTGTCTCACATGATTTTTCTTTGATCATATTTGAATTACTTTAATCAGCTGTGCAAAATGCCTTGATAAAGCCACTTGCTGTATGCAAATAAGAGATGCTTGATCAAAGACATAAGTCCAAGAGTCAGTATCGAAAACTGAACCATACAAATTCCAGAAGGACAGTAAGTTTAAATAGAAAAGGAGCTTAAAGTTAAGTGTACAGGAGGAAAAAAACATACTAAAGATAGCTTCTCTAATATGGATGGTGTTACAAGCCAATATAATTTAGATCTGCCCTACAGAATCAGAGACATGCAAATGTAGCATACAGCCACCTTTGTTCCTACTTTCTCAAGTAACTATGTCATCTGGAGATTAGTTGGAGTGCAGCACTTGTCTGCCCACATACCCCTCTCTATTCCCACCCAAGGCCTGCAAGGAATGTGATGATGAGCCAAATTGAGGGAATCTTAATCTGCCCAAAAAAGGCAATTTATTGCCACTCTGTGCCACAGCAGAGGCCATGTTCTGTTAGTTGAATGGACATTGAAAACCTGGTACAGGCAAAAGGTGTTTCAAGCCTATAAATGACAGCTTCCAGCATATTCGTTTATCTCTGAATAAGGTATCACCTGGCAACAGTTCAGCAATGGCAATTTGGGAGATATCCATAAATACCCTGTTCTTGCGGCTCAAAATGTAGTAGCGTGAGAGGGATTTTAAGGTATTTTGGGCATTTTCTTTTTTTTACAGCGCAACATTCTGCACATATCCAATAAATGCTTAGAATTCCATCTATAAAAATAGAAAATGTCTTTTCCATATGACAATATAAGTCATAGAAGGTGAAACTATAACAATTTATTCACAAAGACGTTAGAACTACAAGTTAAAAATCCAGGCTGAAAATGAGTACATTGGGAGTTAGTTTTCTATGGCACTTCTTTTTTGAAATAAAAGCAGCTCTTAAAAGCAACTTGGAAGTTTGCATGCAATAATTTACATCACTTACTATCCTCTTTAATGCATTTTTATTTTTATCCCCTACAAATGTGTCTTTGTTCTTTGCAAAAGCACATCAATTTGTTGAGTTTAAAACAGATTTGTTGAAGTATAGTAAATAAATTATTTTAAGTACTAAAAAAGCCTATTTTCAACATAATTAATGGGAATAGGGAAAAAAAGACTCTCATAGACTTCACAGGGCTAAGTCCCAATAATGTTCACCCTTTAGAATTCCAAATCTGACATAATTTGTATCGTAATACCGCACAATCAAAAACATGACCTTATCCTACCCCTCAGATTTTTGCATTAACTGATGTTATCTGTGGCTTGTGAGGTAGGATGCCTGCTTTATTTTATATTTACAAAGCACTTGTTCACTAAATAGATTTTTTGCAAACTCTTATGTTACTGATTATGTTCTAAAATTTCTTGGATGTAAACAAAAGAAACCATGGAAGAGCTACATACCTTCAAGTTCATCTTGAGAAATCATAATACGTCTGCCTTCATCCACATGAATAGCTGTAGATGAAAATATTGTTATAATTAGTTTCTGGATTACTTTAGTCTGTTTACAGATTTTGAAGCTTATTTTTGTCAACACTGAAGATCATTGGGTAACTGTGCCCACTATCTCAGTTTTTGTATTATAACTTCATTATAGCATATTGATTCTGTCACTGTTAGGGAAGTTACACATTACACCTGGATCATCAAAGGCAAGGGTGGGTAATTCATTTGGCTGGAGGGCCACTTAATGAGTTTTGGTGAGCTGTCGAGGGCCATGCATATAAAATATTTCGGAAGATACCATTTTAACATTTTAATACCCACCATCACTTCCCTGCCCTACCTGCTACCCAGAGCGGCACAGCAGAGGCAAAAGGAGGAGGAGGAGGAGCTGCTGGAGGTTGAGGGGGGTCAGCAGTAACCCAGGTGGCTGCAGCAGTGGCAACAGCAGCCCCACTAGGAAGTCGTGCATGCTGGTCAGGGCTAGAGCCAGGGTCTGCAGATTGAGGGAGCTCAGCAGTAACTCAGGTGGCTGCAGCATGGCAGCAGCAGCCACACTGGGAAGCTGTGCATGGTGGTCAGCGCTAGGGCCAGGGTCTGGGCTGGGACCATCCAGTGGGTGAAGGCAGGGCTGAGTCCCATGAGGAGCGCTACAAGGACAGCCAGGCTGGATACAATCAATTGGCAGGCACCCACCTGTGGGCCAGATCCAATCAGTTAGTGGGCTAGGTTCAGCTCATGGGTTATATTTTGTCCACCCCGGATCTAAGGGCACTTAACATGAGCATCCTTAACTTGTGCTAAGTGCCCTCTGAGCTTCTCAAAGTTATGCTACTTCATGCAAGGGTTAACTCTGGTCTGTGCTACCTCGTTCATGTTAGGGCAACTTCAGTCCACTTCAGGGAGATAAAAAGCAATTTGCAAACTTCAGCATCCCAGGATGCATCACTTCCAGCTGTCCTCACCCGCCCAGAACAGAGGTAGAGCCCAGCTGTCCTGGCCCCCTAGCCTGGCCCCTGCTCTCCAGCCCTATACTGGCAAGTCAGAGCTGTGCAGGCAAGAAACAGTATTAACCCTTAATGTGTGACTGCTCACAGACCATTGTAAATCTAGCAGCACTTAATATTCCATAGCTTTAGTATGGCCTAAGGTTAACATGTAACTTCACCCTTACTCACATTGAATTAATTACATGAAAAGTAATGGTGACAGTACCATGCTGTTTAAAGAATAATTAAAACATCCTAGAATTATATTGTTAATTGATGTTCTCTGGCATAGTAGCAAGGCATCATGTTATCAGTTGACATTTGGGGTTGAGGACTACCTTGAAATGGCAGTGGCAACTCAATGTTTACAGGAGAGAAGTGACTGTGATGCCTGTGCAGAGGGCCAGTGCAAAATAATTTACATTTGGCATTAGAAACACATAGCTTTTGTGTTAGCCTTTTGAACAGAGCTAAATCTGAGCTGAAAAGAATGTCCATCTAAACTACTCTCCCCTCTGACAGACTACAATAGTAGTACTAGAGATCCTACCCATCTGCCTGTAAATTTGAAGTTATTTTATCAGGGGTGTCCAATGGCGGGGAAGAGAGGGATATGCTGCCAATGACAGCCTGAGGAAGAAGACTGAGACTTTTATTGCCTGTGAATTCAAACAACAATTATTTTCTTTTCAGCTAATATAGATATATTGGATAATATTTTCAAAAGTGTCTTTAGTAGCTAGGAGAATGAAGTCTATGGAAAGTCAATAAGTGGAGCTCCTAAGTTGCTCCTTCATTTTGTTTTCTTTTTTAATGCTATCCATTTTAGTTGTGCATATTTCTTAGATACTGAGTTATCCTGCAAATATGAATGTAAATGAACTGGAACCATTCAACTCCTGACAAGTACCTAGTATGGATCTTTTTGCCAGTGTGGGCATCTCTGTCTTATAATGAGTAAGAGGGTGCACACAAGAAAATAATGTAGGTAAAGGAGAGGTTCAAAACGAAGAGATAAGTATTGCCCAGAAACAAAACCTTTCCTTAACATTTGAATGGTAAATACAGAACTGCTTCTTAGTGCTTGCAGTACTTACTTTGTAACCTGTCCAGGTCAACAGGATCAAGAGCTGCAACTGGGTCAGAGACTCTCGAATGCCTGCTGATACCTGCTTTGTTCACGGCTCTCACACGGAACATGTAAGACCGTCCCTCAAGCAAGCCGGTTACAGGATATTTGCAGATTTTGACTGGAGCATCATTGCACTGCACCCAGTTTTCAGTGCCTACTTCACACCTTTGAAACAGAAAATAAAATCATTGATCAGCATTCCATAATAAACATATGCGATTAGTACATACCAGGCTTACATCCATGCATAGGCTTAGATCCATAGCTGACATGAATGAGTCATCCCTCATTGGCTTTTAGGAAGCCCCCTGACTGAAACCAGGTATGGGTTTAGCACACAATATTAACTAAGAAATATAGTTCTGTTATACTTCATTTTCTCTGACCTTTCCAAATTCAGTCTAGGCCTACTCATATCCATTCAGACTACTACTGCAAAGATAATGTTCTTGTTATGTTGTTTTGACCTTGTCACCTTTCTCTCTTCCTTAGCAATCTGTTCTCTCTTGCATCGTAATACTTGTCTTCATTTTCAGGACCCTGAATAGCCTATTCTCATCCTACCAGTCAGCTCTTATTCACCTCTCTCTGGACTCTTTTTCATTATTCAGTTCCCGCCTCTGACAAGGTGATGACGATCTCCATTGCCTACTTGTGGTTTTACCCAGGCAGCCCCTCACATTTGGGAAAAGCTCCCATAAACAACAGCTAGAGTCTCATTATCCTCTTTGAATCTTTCTTCCCAATTGTTACTTTCTGTGATGCTTACACTGCCGGTAATGTTAGCCAATATTAATCTCATTGTTTTCTTGTATGCTGCCTCCTCCCCCCCACCCCAATCTGCCTACATGTATCCATCTGTTGTCTCCTGTCCTTTACAAAGACTTAAGATCATTGGGGTAGGAGAGGTCTTTTTGTTCTGTACAGCATCTACCTCATAACTAAAATATTTCAGTGCTACAATAATCCAAGTAATAACAACACTACAAAAGGAGCAGTACACTAATTCATCCATGATCTACAGACCATTTAAATGCCATGCTTTATTCTGCAGACAAGGTTCCTTTGGTGAATTTGATATCTTTTATTAGACCAATGCTTTATTCTGAGCATTTAAATAGGCTTAAATAATACACATACATTGTTGAGTCCTCAGAGGCAGAATAATTTCTCCCCCAGTGATAACCCTTTAAGAGTGGTTCAAGACTATCTCCAAGAAAAAACAAAGGTATTTGGCATACAAATAGCACAGTACAGAAACAGGTAAAAATGTATTGCAAAAATGAGTAACTACTAAGTTTAATATAGAGCACCAAATATATTGAAATGATATCAGTAATATTTTTGTATATAGTAAATTGCCATTTTTTAATATTAAGGTTCAGATTCTCAGGCTCTGAATATGATGAATTTACACCAATGTAGTTGGTTATTACGTTTCTTAAAAAAGGATCAGGCACACATGTACAGCCCTGTACCACTGTAATTCGCTCAGATACAGTGTAGAATTACCCCAGGGAAAATCAGAGGTAAAATGACACTAGTGTATGTTACACTAGTATTAGGTGTCTCATGTCCTCAGCATATACTAGTTAGCCTTTGGCTTAAGCAATGTAGGCTAATAGTTGCTCACTCACCACCCACTGGTGAGGCACTGAATTAGAGTCTACCTCATGCAGTTAACTTACTTATCTGTCTTCTTCAAATCCTAGTATAAATTACAGTGGCATACTAAACTGATGTAAATTACTTTAGTGCAAATGTGTTATCTCACCAGACCCTTGGATACATTTGTAAGAAGCAAACAATGCAGAAGGGGAAAGCTAAAATGTAGATTCGAGTTGCCTCTACTGAGCAGAACCCAGGCCAAAATTCAGATCCAACAGAAAGAAGCTATAATGATGGTTTAAACTGCCCACTTAGTCTTCTCTAGTTTGGATTAGCTCTTGCCCCAGTCTAGCAAACCCTGCTACAAGGGATCATGATGGATTAGGGGATGTGGCTTGAACCCTTCTATATTCCAAACGATTGCCAACCCCTTTAATGGTTCCTGGAGAATTATAACAGTCCTGAGCCTTCTCTAGATTGTTCATGGACTAAACTGTCCCCAAACAGTCCAAATATTTGGGTGGAAGGTATAAAAATTGTGATTTGTTTCAGTACATACATTTTTTGCAGACAAAGAATAAATTGCAAATGCACACCCACCTATCAACAAAATATCCAAAGACTGAACTCTCCTCAACTGTATTTGGTGGTTTCCAGGTAACAATGACATAATCTCTGTTAGCATCATGGCACTTAACATCCATTGGAGCTCCTGGTGCCCCCATGATTAATGCATCCGCATCTATACCAGAAAAAATAAGTATATTGGATCTGAGTAGGATGCTTCCCAGACTCAGCAGCTACAACACAGCAAAAGTAAAGTATAGTCACTGTCCAATTCACCAATATGGTATTCCCACTCTACATCAGTCAGATTCTAGTGTTTTCAGTGTGGCTAAACCCCATTAAACTGAAATAACATACTTGTGAGTAATGATTGATAGGCTTAAAAACCTTTCTGGTTTACCTTTCTGATGATAGAGATGTGAGAGAGGACCCTGGAAGGCATGAAATTAAAGGTTCAATGGGATCTAATGCACAATCCCTACAATGCAATGCACGATGCCACATGTGTATGCAGGAGGCATGATTATGGGATCCAGCATCAGTTCCCATCATGACATACTGCTGGTGCAGAGGAAGCTGGGGATCCTGATACCTACAGCTGGAATCTCTGATCAGCTGATCTGCAGCATGAGGGTTCACCATGTGCCTCCACAACTGATTCGTGCTTCCAACTGCAGGATCACATGGTGTGCCTCCACTGCTGAGAGCCTGGATCAGCTGATTGGCATTCCAGATCACTAGGGTGCAGTGGGTTGCTTGATTCAGCTGCTCCCTGATGGTTGGGAGCCCCAATCTACCACTGCTCCCAGCCAAGGAGGCATATCAGAGTCAAAGTCTCCAATACTTCCCTGAGGCTGGGAGTGGCTCCTGATCACTTCTCCTCATCTTAGGGATGCATCAGAGCTCTTGACTCCAATATGCCCCCTCAGCTGGGAGTATTGATCAGCTGATCTGCACTCTCAGCTTCAGAAGCACAGGGCTCCTATGCACTTTGGAGGTTGAGAGCCACAATTAGCCTGGCCATACATTCAATTAATAGCATGATAGGAACCAGTTATAAAATCATTACAGATTTTGTGTAATAATTTTGTGGTTTATTCCTTGTATCACTCCATTAAGTGCATTAATGTATGGCTAGATAACTACTAAACACATGATTAACTGCTTAATCATTTCTTAAGTATAACATGTGCCAGGAACTGTACACACCAAAGATCCATAGACTTCCAATGAGAGGTGCAAGCTTAACAACCTTATTTGATTTTGAAGCCCTTGTAAAAAGCTAGATCTAAGTTATTCGCATGTCAAAAAGTGGGACTTAATGAAAAACAACATGATGCCAGGAAAAATTAGCTTCCTCGGTCTATAGAGTTATGAACTTCTCTACTTTTCTAAGATTATTTCTTAATTGAGATGCTAATAATCCTAATTAATGTCCTTAATTAAGATACCCATATGCAGACAGGGGAGTGTTGATGTTGAAGAACCCAGAACTCCAGAAAAAGACTATTAATAGAGGAAGTTCTCACCCTGCCAGAAAAGGCTTAAACATATACTGCACATGGCCTGCATTTATCTCTTCTTGGTTTCTCTTGATTGTTAAGAGAAACAATCACCAAACATAAGCCTCATCTTAAGATTGCTCCTAAAATATGGCTGTTCCCTGAATGTCTCCAGCACAGCACAGTGATTAAAAAAAAATCCACCAGCTGGCACGAGTCATTGCTAATCATACTGTGTCTTTATACAGGAGTCCAGTTCCTGCTAAAGTAACACCACAGAGAAGTGCCGAAGAGTCTTATACTACTTTACCCTAATGCAAAGGCAAGAGCATTAAAAGGAGATATTAGGATTGGGATCCAGCATGATTGGCTAGGGTTTTGTCTGAGGAAATGAACTAGAAACAAAGCCATAGCAGTTTGTCTTCACAAGAAAGATCTACAGCCCACCATAGTGGCCATGTCTACTCAACCCCCTGCTATGCTATGACAGTTTGAAAGAAAACTGTGAGGAAGACTTCATGTAAGCTGTGGTATGCCTCTAAACTGAACTCACCAGATCAGCATGTATGAATTAGCTCCATTGACTTCAGTGGCATTATACCAAGTTTTAGTCAATGAGGATTGGGCCTGAAGTGCTTAAGAGACTCACAATGCTTCACAGCAAAAATTGCACTCATTTTTAAAAACAAAAGAGATAGAGAGGCAGGTTATACCCACAGATGCGCGTGGGAGCTTGCACTCACATCAGTAGGAGTTGTGATCAGTGACAAATTTTTACCTTTATTCTATTTTAATGTCTTCATCTCCTTTTTCTTTGTCTCTCTCATGAAATGTGTATTTTTTTGACTAATCAATATTTCTTTTCCCTTTTTCCCACAGCTGTTACCCATAGGACTAGACTGTGATTGCCACTGAGGAAGGTGCACAGATGACAGTAGACAAAGAACCTTTTTTTTTCTCCTTCCTCACTACCCCCTGTGCAAGGGTCAATCATAACTCAAAGATTTATATAGCCTGTCCTTGCCTAGTTGTGATTAAAGCAAAAGTCATGACAAAGAGGAGGGACTAAATGCAGGCATGTTCAAGGACCTCTCAGTAAGATGAGCTGGCCACCACAGCAAGCCATGTCCACTCAAGAAGAGGGCAGACTGCACAAGGACAGGCTCCCTAGCTTTTGGGGAAAGAGCATCTTTCAGAAAAAATGACTACTGAAACACCCCCTAGAATAATGTGTCTGTTTTGGCCCTGATATAGACCAGTGGACTAAATTAGACATTTTTATAATGCCATTATATAGTTTTATTTGCAGTTCCTTCACTATAGAATCCTAGAGAAGTAAGCTTGGAAGGGACCTTCAGAGTTCATCTAATCCAACCCCCCACTCCACCACAGGCAGGGTCATCTCTACCCATTCTATACAAAACCATTGTCTAACCTATTAGTAGAACAGCATATCCAACACAACCACAAAGCATAACAACCAAACCTGACACAGGTAAAGTAGGGGGACAACTGCAGCCAGTGTTCTGCTGCTGCAGGGTCGTTAAAATACTCTTGAGAGATTCAAGGAAGAGGGCCACAACCCTGCTACAGAAGAAGGCAAAAAACCCAATCTGACCATGAACTAAAATTCATCCCAGACCCCAAATGCAGCAATTGGTCTGACTCTGAAGGGAGGGGCAAGACCCTCTAGCCGGGAACCTCCAGATTTAAGTCACAGCAGAAGCACTGGCACACCCCAATCAAAATCCCCATTATGTTGCTAAGTGAATTCTTTATCCTATTGCATTTGCTAAGTTGTTTTCAAATGAAGAATAAAGACCATACCTCTGACAAACAGGAATGCTCTATGTTCATTCACCCCTCCTTTTGTAACCATACGCAGGGTATATAAACCTTCATCATCCTTGTTCAGATGGGTGAAAGACAGTGCTGCCTGGCCTTCTCCAAAGAACAGATTTGTCCACTTGGATTCTTTTATTAGGACATCTAGGATGGAATAGCAAAAGGGCTTGTTTCAATAATCTAGCAAATAGAAATCTTCATCCTAGCACACTTTTGTGCTGATCAGGCCTGCCATTTCTGCAGCTTTGCTCAGCATGATGGTGCTTTAATGCTCTGGAAATCCTATCTACAAGGTCTTCACTGTGTCCCACCAAATTCATTTAATCAATTAATATTAAATGGGTGTACACTTTTGCTCTGTTATAATGTACCTACTACAGAAATAGGAATGATTTCCCTTTAACCTCATTTTAACACACTGACAAGGAAGGAATTTTAATCCACATTTTGAAACAATGCTATGAAAACCAACAATACACAGTTGTGATTGCAATATGTAACTTCTTTCCATTTTTATATACTTTTCTGCCTATTCAGGTCGTGTGTCAGATTAGTCAAACTTCTCTTTCTTCAAGTGTAAAGACAAGATTTCAGTTTAATCTGAAGCCTGCTATAAATATACACCAAATTTTAAATCCTCCAGACATGCCTGCTGAGCAGTGAATCAAATTAAATTTGAATTTTTCACAGGTGAGAGGTGGTGACCCATGATTAATGTTAATTAATCTGATTGACTAGTGAAATTGGAGCAAAGGAATGAGCAGAATATTTTATGCTGGTCAAGGGAGTTCCTTTCTATCCCTTTTTTTAAATAATTGATTAGAATACTGAATTGATTAGAATTCTGATTGTTAACTCCTTGAGTTCTCTTCTATACAAACCTATTATAATTAATGCAGCAGCTTTACATTCAAATTTGTCTGAGGGCTTTGCATATTTATTATCAAGATCAGGGTTCCTGGTTTTCTCTGATAAAAAAAAATCCCCAATTTTTGGGTTAACAATAGTAACCCAAAATCCACATTTTTCCATGATTAAAATGAAACGCCACTAATGCATAGATTTATATATATAGTGGTGTTTCATTTTGATCATGGAAAAATGTGGATTTTGGGTTACTTTTCGTAGGCCAAAAAAATTGGGGATTTTTTTTTTTATCAGAGAAAACCAGGATCCCTGATTATGATGCTCAAATTAACTTTGAAGCAGATGTGCCAAAAGTTGCAGATTAGTCATTTCGGCCAATTAATATACTTATAACTACACAAGTGAACTAGAAATGGGGGGAGGGGGGTAGTGTGTTACATCTTTAAATGTCAAAGGCTACAGTCATGCTCCCATTTGCTTGGTCTTTATCCATGAATCATTCACTTGAAGGTATCCAGTGGACCAACTTCAACAGGAGGCATGGAGAGTACCCTAACCCCTATTTAGCCCATAGTTTAGTAACCAAGGCACTTTCCTGGGGAGATCTATAAATTCAAATCCGTCCCACCAGAGATAAGTCAGAAAGCTGTATTCTCGGCCTATTTCAAAAGTGTTCTTACCACTATGCTATTACCACCGTGTTTCATATTGAGTTTCATATGAGAAGGTTATTAGGCATACTATGGCCTTGCCTAAGGAGTTAGATGGAGTTTATGTCCATCCCAGCCTTCGTTTGGATTGCAACTTAGTTTAGGCGGGAATGATGTAGGAATATGTGCTAACCCAAATCTAGATGCCTTGGGATTTTTTCACATCAAGTGGAGGCCTTCATGAATCCATGCAAATAAGAGGTTTTATAGCTGCTGATCTGAGTCAATTTGGACCATTCTTTATTTCTTAGGCACTTAAATTCCATCTAATTCCTATTTAGAAACCTTAGAAGTTGACTAGGATCTGACCCACAAGTTCTCTTGACTCTGTAAGTTTTCTCCAGACACCAATATAAAGCTATAAACAGTCATTGTTTTTGTCATGGAATCAGGTGTCCCATAATATTTTCCAGCAGAACTGCTCCAATTGATTGGAAGGTACAGATGTTGCCCAGAACTATTGTCCCACAGCATCAGTCCCCTGCGGCTCCCAGGGATTCAGATCCAACAAGACAATGCTGCTGGGTGCCTGGCCCTAATCCAAGGTGCATGTCTACAAGCACAAAGCAGGGAACTGCATGGAGTTCTCTTGCTCTACAGCATGAAAGGTACACCCTAGAATTGCCTACCCAGGATAGCTGGAGAGAGTGGGCAGCCCTAGGCTGCAGGGATTGCACCAGGATCAAATAGACCATCTGCCACAATACAGTGCTACAAACTATTAGTAGGAATCACCATGCTCACATTTTGGGGCATTTGGGGCATGACAAGGACATCTGTTCAACCATATTTTGTGCTGCAATATTTTTTTTCTGGCATGACAAGGGTGACGTCTGTTTGCAGCCTAAGTGAATGCAAAATATTTCACAATTTAGGTTCCTAATTAAAGGAAAACCTCTGAAACCAGCTAATATCCAAACTGGTCGTAGATGTACACTCTTAAATTATTATTCCAGTATGTTTCCTTGAGCATCTTAATTTGGTTAAAAGTGAGTCAGAACTTTTAAATTGTCAGAAACTTAAAACTATTTGAAAAGATTTGATTGAGATGATTTACGTATTTACAGTTTACAGTTTGCTGGCTAGCAGCTAGTCTGAGTCTTATTAATTTTGAATATGTAATTTTCTTGTGTATAATTAATAGAAGTAAACTACAGAGATCCATCTCCAGTCTTTAGTGATTTATCATTTGAATAATGAAATAAAAAAATAAGGAAATGCATATTTAAATATCAACACAGAATTTCATGACTTGTCTGAAAAAGAACTTTAAAAAATTGTTATACATTATTAGATATTGCTAGGTCCATTATTAACCTTCCTGACATCCAAATTCATGAGGTGGCCCTGGTTATAAAAATATCTGTGATATTTGTTCTAAAAATATCTGTGATATTTACATCTGTGGGATGTAAAATCCACAGAAATAATATATATCACATGAATTCTTACCATATTTGAATGAAATTCTACCCATAACTTGTATATAGGCATCTAAAACTCTGAGAAGAATATACTAGGCCATATCCCTTTCCTCAATGTTTCCTACCGGATATCTTTACTATCTTCCCAGTAAGCATGCTGGTTTTTGTAGATCCTTTCTTAGACACCTAACTTCCCCCATGGAATGAACAGTGACTTACTAGCCAAGGTGCTAATTTAGAGCTGTGGACTGGAGTACGTAACTAACCACCCTACATCCTTTAATGGATTTATCTCTTCACAAAACCACTTGGTTGTGACTTGTTTGTTTGAATATATGAGCATCTGGTTTTTGTGCCCATGGCCAGGGACAGACATTCAAAAAGCCGGAGCCTGAATTGATTCAGTCTTTGCAGGTTAGTCTAACCTGTCTAGATTGAACCAATTTGCAGGTGAATAGACATTCAGGAAATGCAGGCACATACCTGCAGTGGCTCAGGTCAGGTGCCAGGGGGTGCTAGAGCAGGCCTTGGCTGCAGGGAAGCTGTGCTGGGGGGGCCATACCCTGGAGTGAACTGGCCAAGGAGGGATTTAATTCCCCCCCTCCCTGTCCCACCGGCATGGACCTGAGCCACGGTCCACCAGATGTTCCCCACTCACTGCTGCAGCAGCAGGGCTGGGGCAGAGCCAAACACTGACTGACATGGCCCTCTGAGACAGAGGGGGCAGGGAATGGATTATTTTCCCCCTACCCTTACTGCCCCAAGGGGACCACAGCTGGGGTCTGCCTGCCCTGACTACCATTTCCGTTGCTCACTCCCTGTGTGGGATGAGCTGCAGGAAAAGCCCCACCTGCCTCCTCCACCAGATGCTGGAAGGAGTGGGGAATAACTCCCCTCCCTGCTCCCTCGCCTGCAGGGCTCTTCCAGCTGGCCCCTCCCCAGGCTCCCAACCCTACTGCTGGAGCAATGAGAGGGCAGGGACCTGACAGGGCAGCAGCCCTTGTCCCCGTGTCCAGGGAGCGCAAGCTCTTCCTGGCAGGAGGGCCGCAAGCGAGTAGTCAAAGCTGCCATGGACTGTGCAGGGCATGTGGTGGCACTGGGGCTCAAAGGGGTCCATAGCCCCCAAGCTCTTCCCAGTGCTGCCACCACCATTCATGCTGCATAGTCTGCAGCAGCTCTGCCTGCCCCCCAGTGCACCCCCATCCCACTGGCAGCACAGCCCCCCACTGGGAAGTGGCTCACAGTCCTCAAACACCAGGACAGGGGCTGCTGCCCCATAAGGGCCCTGCCCACTTGCCACTCCAGCAGCAGGGTCAGCAGCCAAGGGAGAGGCCAGACAGCAGGCCCCTTAGGTGAGGAGGCAAGGAGGAGGTTTATTCCCCCTCCTGCTGGTGTCTGGCAAATGGGGAAGGAGGGGCTTATCCTGCTGTCCTTCCATGCAGGGAGCAAGCAGTGGAGGTGGCAGTTGGGATGGGCAGACCCTGGCTGCATTCCCCAGAGGCAGTGGGGGTAGAGGGAGGAATAACACCCCTGTGTGACCTCTCTGCCTCAAGGGGGCATGCTGGCTGGCGTTTAGCAGTGCTCTATCACTGCAACAATGAGGGGGAGCACCCAGCACACTCCATCTTGGATCTATGCCAGTGGGACAGAGAGGGGGGAATTAAATCCCCTCCTTGGCCAGTTCACTCCAAGCCACTGCAGTGGTTGGCCACAACCCCACCACTGGAGCAGGCAGCAGAGAAATGCAGGTCTGCACTGATGGCACAGAGGAGGAGGAGGGGTGGAATAAACCTCTTCCCTGCCCGCTTCTGGGGGGGCCAGCATCTGGCCAGGCCCCTGCCCCTGCCTGTCCCTGCTCCGACTAGGGAGCAGAAGGGCAGGGCCAGCCCTGCTCCACTGGAGCAGAGAGCACAGCCCAGTGTGCATGCTGGGATGCTAGGGGACTCTGGTTTAACTTAAGCCAGGAAGGGGGTCTGGGATAGAAGTTGCATAACCTGCTTTGTGCTCAATCAGTTAAGTCTGATACATCATTCAACCAGGTTTATGTCAAACTGGTTTCAGCCATTTTGAAACTGGCTTAATGTGCACTGAACTTATGTTCTGTTACAGGTTTAAACCACTTTCTGATCACTTTAACCAGTTTATGTGTAACTTCTGTCCCTAGTCCATGTGTGTCCTAAGCTTTGTGAGAAGAAGACAAGTCAAAGATGACTGCAGATGAGTTCCAGGCAATGTCCCTATTAGTTGCATAACTAGGATGGCATCAGCCCAGGGGCAATGCGTAGAGGGTACACATGGGTGAACGTGCATGCCCTGAGCATGGCACTGAACCCCCTGCAAAAAGGTGTTGCCTACACTGTTGGCGGTGCCTGCAGGCAGTCACCACTCACCACCCTACCACCAACACTGCTGCAGGCATCTGCGAGAGGTCCACGATTGCCTCTGGCCACCACCAACACTGCTGGCAGTGCCTGTGGGTGATTGCCAACCCCTGGTTGCTGCTCACCACCCTCCCCCCCACCCCTCGACATTGCCAGTGGCATCTGCAGGAGCTCCCCACTTACCACCGCCATGCTTTCACTGCCACCACACTCCCGGCAGTGGCCAGCAGCAATTGTGGAGCGCCTGCAGATGCCAGGGGCATGTGCTGTTCATGCACCAACTTAAAAGGGGAGCCAGTACTCCACAAACCTTCTCCACACTTCCTCTCCCACTCTCTTTTCAAGGCACCAAAGTTGCCAATTAAAACTCTGATCTCCAAATTCTATGTAGCTATGTAGAAGAAATGGTGATGGAAGGGAACAAAGATCTAGCAATAAGGGACTTATTAGGGGGGGTCTGTAAACCTTAGGGTTGAACCTAAGTTCAAACAGTCTCTTTTAACTTCTATTAAAATCTGCCTGTGTTAAGCCTACCTGTCTTGGCATGAGTTTCTTACATTTTAGCATTCTAATTTTGCAAAGCAGTCACTCCAGTAAAGTGAGACTTCAATGGAAAATCTCTCCTGGGTGGGATAATTACAGAAGGTAAAAAGTTCTTTCAGGAGCGTAAATTCTGAAACCTACCCACAGATTTAAGGAAGAAGCTAAATGCAACTGAACAATCTGAAACTAATTTAAATGGATGCATGTTAATTACTGCATGAAAACCAGCTTACCATCTCTGTACCAATCAGCCCGAGGTCGAAGCCTAGTCAGCTCAGGAGTTATCAGCGTGGAACATTTGAGGGTAAGAGTTTCTCCTTCTATCCCAAAAGTGACACCAAACTTCTCCAAAAATTGAACATCAATGTGAGTGAAGCAAACATCAAGCGGGAAGGGCACTGAACATGGAGAAATCATAAGACACTTTGAGACTAGTAAATTGTACTTGGTACAAGCAGATTATCTTCCAAAAAGCTTCAGCATATGGAATGGATTGCTAGCATATAGGACTGAACAATGCATGCAACTGGAAGGTTAAATGTACCTGTATATCTTACTTTGTGACTTCTGAAAATTTAGAAAGTAAAGTCAGAAGCAAGATGTACTGTTTTCAAAAATAATGTTACTGGGGCTACGGATTGGATAAAGTATCTACACTTTTTTTCTCAAAAAAAAAAAAAAGAAGAAAAAAGGAGATGATGCTTACAATTGAAAGGTGATATGCCAGCAGGGAGTGGCTCTTCTTCCCCTCTGAACCCTACAAAACATAGACAATTAAGGTCCATATAAGAAAAGTACAATGTCTATTTTCCTTTTTTCTAAGTGTGACACAGGACTTACTTCTCACAATCACAGCAGCATTTGTCGATGCCTGCCCATGGATATTTGTTGCAACTGCAGTATAGGTAGCAGTATCATCAAAACTGGCTCTAATGGGGAAAAGAGGAAAAATAAATTACAATATTTACAATTGTAAACGCAAATAATGATATATATTATGAATCAAGAGGTTCAAATCATAAACAAAGTGAACTAGATTCCTTGCTAAGGTCACACAGACCAAAGGAGGGAAGTCGGGGAGCTCAGTGTGCCTCCATCCTGGGTCTAGAACAGGTTTAAGCATCATGAAAGGTTCATTAACTTGTGCAATAGAGAGTCATTCATCAGATAGGAATAACTGAAGTATATAATACACTGCCCAGTCTCCTTTCACCTGCCCCTCCCAAGGCTTCTGCATCATGCATTGTAAGAAAAAGGAATAGGAGACAAAGGAGAGGCATAAGAAACAGCAGGCCTTGTATGCTCTGATGTCTTTCTCTAGGGTTATCCTTGGTAGGTAGCTACAAAAAAGGTTTTGTTGCCTTTATACCACTTGAAGACAGGGGAGCAGCCTGAGGAATATGGTCATCATACAATGGCTACAGATTTTGATTTAATTTGATTTAAATGTTTTTCCTTCTTTTTAATGTAAAAATAGAAGCTAATTAAGGAAGGTGTAATCAATTTTAAAAAACTCATTTTTAGTGCTTCACAGAGCCTATTGGTGGAATAATTTGTTTTCCACAGTTGCCTTTGATATGGTACTATCATATCATATCTACATACCAGCTAAGATATGATTTCCAGTGTAAATGCCTGCATCCCCATTATTTTCTCCACAAGGGTCAATCAGAAGTACTGCTACCGAACCCACTGGTGTTACACATGTAAAAGTGAAGTAAGGAAAAAAGAAAATACCTTCTAGTCTTTTTTGGATATGACTTGGGGTACTTTAAATTAAATTTTATATACAAATGCTTGGCACATATTTATTAGTTAAAATATTTTGGATGAAACTGTTTACAAAAATAGACATTTCATGATACCAGAGTGTTTTACAAATTTACTTCAGCTTTTTTTTCTGGGGAAAAAAAAAAAAAAACAAAATGATTTTTGGGAAGTTTGGAAAATTAGAAAGTTTCATTTTTTACATTCTCAACATAAAACACTTTGATTCCAAAGATTTCAAAAGTTACTTCAACTTCATTTTTTTAAGTATCTTAATAAAATACTCAAACCCAAAGCAAAATATTTTATTTGACCCAATATAAAAAATTCCCTCAGTTTTCCTATAGATCGAACACTTAGAAAAAATACTTGTGTCAATTTTTTTTCATGGTTTTATTTTTTGGAGTTGACATCAAACTGAAAAAATCAGGCAATTAATGTGTGCAATCGGCTCTTGCTTCTCTGTACTTCACACTCATTTGCCTGAGGTCTTGACTTTGAGTGTCCAATGAAAAGTGCAATGTTCAGTGTGCATGCATTCAGTTCTCTTTCAGAAGACTGACTCAGTAACATTCTGAAAACTGTCAGGTGAAACATGAACATATGGCCTCCAGTGACTTCTAAAACATTACAGACAATGGATGTGAAAGCACAGAGCAGACACAAAAATGTTTGATGCAAACTACTTCACACGGTTGCAGACTTCATGTAATGCAGCATGTGTCACTGAAGTGACAGTAATGTTTTTCATCCATGGTGTATACTCTGGCCTGTCCGTGCTACAAAGTATGCTGCCCGTGGCACTTTATTTCAGAAATTCACCTCCTGATAGTGGTAAACATGCCCTAATGAAAGAGTCTAGATTCTACATTAGTATAAATGTACAGGGCTTATTGCACCGCCTAGAGGCAGATTTTGAATGATGCATTTTACAAAACAAAGTATCAAAATGCTGAACATACCATATAAGTAAATATCAAAGAAAAAAATGAAAGGTAAATTGTGAAATTAGCTTGTGTTATCACAAAAGCCGAAGGTAGAGCCTAAAAGACAAAATTACCTTTGAGTGACTATGAAAGTTGCAACCTTGAAAATAAAGCAACTTTCAATTAAGGTTATGTAATTACAGTTGATGTTCTTTTAATTCATTTTCAGAGAATACACCACAAATAGATCCTAAATCTCTCTACATTTTTTCAGGTCCATTGTTAAGGTATCCAAACTTTGGACATGAGTGCTGATAAGCATATGATGTTTCTTTGTCTTAACTTTTCAAACTAGGAAAAAAGGCAATTAAAAATCTGTGACACTCCTTAAATTGTTGACTGATTTCAAAATGTTTGGAAAGTTTTAGTAATGGAAAAGTTGTCCTATCAAGTCAGTGTTCTACAGGAAAGAAGGCAAAAAGATGCTTACTTGAAAATCTAGTGATCATATTTTGTATTTATTCAAAAGGAATCTTCCCCAAATCAGAAAATCTAAGAAACGTTAAAAAATATTGAAGTGCAAATTCAAATAGTGAATACTTGAGAATAAATTTAGAATAAATTAAAAAATTAAAAGCAGACATGAGAAGCAACAAATTAATTTTGTGTTTGCAGAGTTCTAGGGGAAATAAATGGTAAATTACTGTATAAAGACAAAGAAACACATTGGCTTGACACTGACAGAAACACTGAGGAGCTGCTGAAGTCCAGGAAAGGAGAGGAGTGTGAGCACAAGTCTTCTGTAGACATTGATTTGGCTTGTGGTAGCATTGTTGATAGAGGATTAATGCCTGTCTTTGTGTATATTTTGGAGGATTCAATATGTTCTTGAATGTTAAATCTGTTATTTTATGACTTGGCCCCTGGCTCTGGGCCCCCCAGGCAGTGCAGGGCCACAGCCAATGCAGGGAGGCAGCCAGGGCCAGAGCTGAGGCCAGTGCAGGGCTGGGGGGCACCAAATTCATTGGCTTGGGGGGCACTGGCACCGAGCAACAACCCTGGACACAAGGGAAGAGACAGCCACATGGGCGCAGTGGGCCCCGGCCCCGATCCCAATCCTGGACCCGGGTCCACTCTGTTCCCTCCTGATCCCAGCCCCAGCCCCACTCCCTCCCCACCTCCATGGCCCTTTCCCTGCCCCTCCATCCCTTCCCCCAAAGACTTTACCACTGTGGGGGGCACATACACATGTGCACTCACCCCCCCCCCAAAAAAAAAATCTCCCTCCGCCTATGATAACAACTGCTATACTGGGTCAGACCAAAGGTCTATCTACCCCAATATACTCTTGCAGGCAGTGACAATTTGTGGAGAAAGTATAAGGAACAAGGCATGAGTAAAGTGATCTACACTTTTTTCACATCATAGACTCAGAAAATTAGGGTTGGAAGGGGCCTCAGGAGGTCATCTAGTCCAACCGCTTCTCAAAGTAGGACCATCCCCAACTAGATTATTCCAGGCAGGGCTTTCTCAAGTCAGACCTTAAAAATCTCCAAGGATGGAGATTCCACCACCTCTCTAGGTGTCCCATTCCAGTGCTACACCACCCTCCTAGTAAGAGAGTTTTCCTTATATCCAACCTAAACTTCCTTTGCTGCAATGTGAGATGATTGCTCCTTGTTCTGTCATCTGTCACCACTGAGAACAGTCTAGCTCTGCTGTGGTGGGCCTAGGCCTGACAATCAGCTAATTGTTGGTCCCTGCCCCAGTCCTACACCAGAACTAGTTTAAGACTCCCAACAGCAGAAACCTGATTCATCCTGCAGATCCAATGGCAGGTGCAGGTCCAGCAACAGGAGCAGCACCCTCTCCCAGGCTTAGTTCCTCATGCCTCTGCCCATGACCAATAGCAAAGACCCAGCTTGTCCTGGTACTTAAGTAAATACAAGTACTATCCTGCTGCTGAGTGTTTTACTCCACAGCACTGCATGTGTAGATGCTGATATGGCTGTCTGTGGCATGAGGGTGCTTCAATGCAGGAGCTGCCTGCCAGCTGTCATGCCCCAGCCAGTCCTTCCACAGCATGCTGAGCCAGCTTGGAGAAGCCCCAGGTTGGCAAGCTGACCCCTCTGGACCCACTCCAGGACTGCTCCAACCTGGTTCAATGAGCTCCCAGGTGCACATTCAAACGGCTTGCCTGGGGCAATAAATTTTGGCACAATATTCACCAAAGTTTATTGCTGTGTGCTAATAGCATGTGTAGATGCTCCCAAGGTGAAAGTTGCATATCACATTGGCTAACTTGTTTTCCATGGATGGCAAAAAGAAGGTGCAAGTAAGATTGGCTTAAAGCTCCTGATATCTTATCTTGGATTTGACTCAGAGATTCAATAATTGGGAGCAAGTTTTGTGCAAAAATTGCTTTCTCTCACCAGTTAAGTAGAACCCTATCAAAAATGATAAGCAAATGATCAGGCTTAGTGAATGTAACCACTCTGGTGAAATGGATAGCTAGGGTGCACAAGGGCTTCAAAGTGGGATCTTCATCAGTTAATTTAATGTTCTTATCAAGAGCAGGTTTCTTAGACTTTACAAAGGTCAGATGAAATGTATATGGCTTACATTTAAAAAGAACAAAATGGGAGTGCAGGAGTATATCTGTCCCAAGGTACTAATAATGTCTGTGAAACTAAAATTGCCCTGAATCCATATTACGTTCTTGAGTGCTAATGTTTGCAAGGGGACCATTATATTGGCAGATACATATGTTTAAAATGCATGCACTCATCCATCTGAGTAGACTAGGTTGCAGCATAGTAGTTAAGAGTAAAATAACATTTTTTGCCTGAATTGGTATGTTCTTCAGCCAACATGAGAGAGAAAAAGCAGAGCATAGCAATTACATATACAGATAAAAATGACCCCTTTGGGGATGAATTCAAACACCCTGATTCTCTCCAGTGCAGCAGCTCTTCCCCATTTCTCTGACATAAAGGGCTGAAAATGGTGGTCCTAAGAGGCAACAGTCTAAGTGAAATGGTTAATATTTTACTACTTTTCAATACTGAGAAAAGAAGAGCAGGAAATAATAACAGTTTTCACCCTACTGCCTTTATTTTGTTTTTAAAGAAGCTTTAAGCTCAAGCATGGAGCAAGGAAAGGCAGAACTAGTGTAAAAGCTCCCCAGTACAGGTGACAGTTCAGGGGTGCACTAAGGGGACTAGATATTAGACAGT